TGGGAGAGCTTCAGCCAATGGAACAGCAGTGCTGAGGGCTTAGGATAGGGAGTTTGGGGGGACCTACTACTGTCACATTCTTGTAATGTGAGCTGTATTCAAATAGTTGCAGTCTGCAACTGGACTGCTAGATGCCACTAATTCCTACACACTGGTTCTTTAAAATGTGCCTGGGTTGGCCCCAATACCGAGCAAACTGCTACAGCTACTTAATACTACTTAGTACTACTGTTGCTACTTACTTACTACTTATTTAGTACTATTATCACTACTAGTGGTCAACGGATATTCATTTTTCTATGCCAATATTTACCGTGCAGGGCTTCCGATGGCCAATATATAATGTCAATATCAAAAATGCAGAAAAGTCAAGTATCATTCTATATTTTACAGGAAATTCAGAGTTATAGGACAGGGCTTAAAACCAATGTTCACCACCTTCCTAAAACTCATAAGGGCGAGTTTTATCATGATTTCACAGCAGCCACATTGCTGTAATTACACTGTTTGGCCACTGTGTTAAATTGGCTTCAAAGCCTGGCACTCTTTCTAAGGTCTTTGTCTTATTCAGCAGTGTGATGGATGTGTGTATATTCTCCACCAACGGTGGCCCTCAGAAACACTGCAACTTAAGAAAACACATGCAAATAGACAGAACACAAGCAATTTAAGAAAACATCTTCACCAACTGACCAACAACACACAAACAAAACACTACCATATACAGAAATGCTGCAAGTAGCACAGACAATAACAAAGGACACTAAAAGGTGATGAACACGGCTGCTTGTTATCCCACCAAGCTCAAGCTCATTTTCCAAAACCATGGCAGCAACAACCAGCCCTGTCCTAGCAGTGTTCATCACTTTTTAATGTCCTCCGGAGGTTTCGGCTATAGTACTTGCAGTGTTTCTGTATTTGGTTTTGTTTTCTGTACTTGCAGCATTGTGTCTAAATGCTGCATATGTGTTGTCAAATTGCGTTGAACTCTCAGGCCCACCGTACCTGCAGGTCTTCAGCCAGGCCAGCTGTCTTTATTACGCTCTTCAACTTCACAGAGGACAGCCTCCCTGTCACACACGTCAATAACATGACCACCAGGGGGCCTCCATGATTCAACCTTAGCACACTCACAGTTGACATACTCTGTGTGTGTGTGTGTGTGTGTGTGTGTGTTTGTGTGTTGTTGAGAGGAGAGAAGGCAACTCAGTTAGGAAGTCTCTCCAGCAGAGAGTCGGCTAGCAGGGAGGGTAATTAATTGGGGAGAGGGAAGCAAAGCATCAAAGAAGCAGAAGAAGAAAAAAAGGACTGAGCAAAGGGAATGAAGTAATGATGGATGAAGGAATGACTGAAGGTCCGGAATCTATAATAAAACCATATAAATATCCCATAATATCCAAGATTAGATGAGCTAGAAATAGAGTGAATACAGTAAATGAGCAGTAGTATTAAACAGTAGACAACCAACAATATAAAACAAATTAATGAACTGTGCCTATAAATTAAAGCTGTACAAAATACATGAAAAGAAAAAAGTGCAGACTTGTCCTTTACAATCTGGCCATGTGAAGAGATAAATGAGGGACACCTTCACTGTAAATCCTAATAACATATCTTAATAAAAGAAGCTAACATAACTATCCTCCAAAACATTTTGAGTCATAAGTCGGTTGTTTTCAGTGCACTTAAATATGTGGAATAAGCCCTCAAGCCTATCATTTTGGTAATTGGTTAATTGGTTAATTTGTAAATTGTTAGTTGTAAATCATATGTCATCTGTTTTGAGGTAGTGTAATAATTTGCTTCAGTGGAAGAAGTAAAGAGTACATTTAGTTTAAGTGCACTCATATTACATGAGTGTAATACACTTACTAGTTTTAAGTTCAATTAACTGTATGAAATTTATATAATTAACTTAATTTACCCAAGTTACCTTAATAAATACTTGAGTTACTGGTACTCAAATTAAATCTATAATCTAAATCTATAGATAATAAATGTAATCGGTTTTGGCAATCAGTTTCTAAGTCATCAGGTTTTACAGTGTATGGTCCAAGATGAGGAGAACTAAACCAGACTGGAAGATTACACTCTAACAATCAGATATGAATGTAGTTTGAGATTCAGCTGTATAGAAAACTAGTGTCATGCTGTCTGATACCCATTGTCATTTTGCATGAAGCTGTTGCAGCTGGCTGGCTAACCTCAGCTTGCTTGCTTGCTAATGTCATCGCTAGCCAAACACTATCAGAGTGGATATTTTAGTTGGCTATGATAAGCTCGCAAAATTAACAGCTAACATGATCCATAATATGTAACTAACTTATATATTATGTCAAACGGTGTTGAATTTAGCCAACAATAAATTCTGCACAGTACAAAGCTAACAATTGCTTTCTAATAACCAAGAACAATGCAAGGAAGGGACATCCAACTAACTGTAAATTAGCCTAAACTAAGCTGGGGTTGTCCAGCTGGATGTGTCTTGGCTGCACATTGTGGGTCTGGCGTTGGTTGCTTTGTGGTGTTGGCTGATGGGTCATTTGTAAATGACGAGCTAGTTAGTAGCATGGAGTCAATGGTCCAAATAAAATAAAGTAACATTGCAGATAGTAACATTATTATATTACAATAATTTATTATCCATTGTCATTCAGTCTAGTCTATGTTACTTTTGGCAGAAGCCAAGGATGTGCCTCGTGCCCACGGACTGACTGCGAGCAACAGAACACTGACTGCAGTTCACTTAATGGCCACTGGAGTCAATATTAAAAAAGGTTTTTCTGAAAATTACATATAGAATCTTTAAGTCACTTAAAACCATTAAAATACAACATTGACTTTCCTGGTCTTCTGTCTTTGTTTGACCCATCCATCCACCCGAACCACCTCCTCATGTGGACTTTGTTGCTCTTCATACTGCTCCAGGCATAGTTACTATGGCTATGCTTGCTTTATCTAAACAGTCGTTTTTCTGTTGAGGACAGGCTGTGTTTTGTGCAAGTTTTTTATTTAGTCCCTGCAATGCCTGTCAGTGCCATGTCAATGCTCTATATGTGTATGTGTTTCTCATTTGGTTATCTTTGCTATTGCTCATCACTATGATCTGTTCTCCACTTCCCAGAGGTCAAAGTGTGGGTGTGGTGTCTTTTCCTAGAATTTTCTTCTGAAGTCTGTAGGTGGCGCTGTTGCAGTCGTCATGGCTGTCAGTGCTCAAATAACTCAGCCTGTGTAACAGTGGTTTTTAAACTGTAGAACAGACATTCATGTATGAAAGTATGAAAAGACATGCAACTCCCTCTTTTGGTCATACTTTTGGTCACCTTTCCCATCAACCTATAACTGATAATCAGCTCTAATTGATTAAGAACGAGTTGGAATCAATATAAGTTGGTATGGTAGAACGCAGTTTGCTTGCGTTAGCTTAACGAGAGCCATACAGTTTTCAATTCAATCTGTCTACTACGAATGATTAACCTGGAGCTAAACTCATGGGTTGGTAAAGGCTGTGGAATGAATAAAGGACAAATAAGGTCACCACACACACACTCACACGTGATTAGAGTTACTACTATTACTCCAGATGCTTTCCCGCCCTGACAATAACACACTTTCAGACAGACTGTAAAGATTGATGTTTAGTAAAAATTGAGTAAAAACTAAATAGCAATGTGAAATATTACACTGAAATGTGAAATATTACACTGAGCCATCAATTGTTCTAAATGTTGAATAAACTCAAAAAAGCTGTGAAACTAAACTTTTTTAAGTTGTAGCCCCTTATGTATTTTTAAGTGTGATGATTTTTTCCCTATATTAAGAAACCATCTTTCTCCAACCTTAACCAAAGTGCTTTTGTTTTCCTAATCATGTGCACAATTTTGTATATATATATATCCGTGCATCAATGAGCCTTGGCCCCCCATGACCCTGTCTCTGGTTCTTTTCCTTCCTTGGAGCACTTTTGATAGATACTGACCACTGCAGACCGGGAACACCCCACAAGAGCTGCAGGTTTGGAGATGCTCTATCCCAGTCGTCCATCACAATGTGGCCCTTGTCAAAGTCGCTCAAATCCTCACGCTGCCCATTTTTCCTGCTTCTAACACATCAACCGGAGGACAAAATGTTCCCTTGCTGCCTGATATATCCCACCCACTGACAGGAGCCATGATAACCAGATAATCAGTGTTATTCACTTCACTTGTCATCCACATTCACATGAGGAAGTCAGGATCTAATCTAGTTATCTGACAGTGCTTGAAGCCGCTCATGACATACAGTATTGCAGGTCCTACTTAGAAATGTGTACTTCTGTAATAATAAGTGTAGTGTAATTAACTGTGTGTCGGTGCCAAAGTTCAGGGTTCTCTGAACAAAAGCAGCCATTCATGTAGCAGCGGTGGGGGTAAAGTCATAGGATTAAGAAATGTTTAATGCCATGCGGGTGATTGTTGCCCAATGATCAGTCAGAAAACACTGCCTTGCTTCTGTCAACTGCAGCCCGAATTATTAGCACATGATCAGTGTGCTAACTACATTTGATGATTCATATTCTCACTGCGCAGAGCCGGAAGAAGTGCTGCAATCAAGAGATTTTGGATGTATTTTTTAGGCATCTATTGTTTTTTATTCATGTGTGTATTATATAAACCCATCATCTCCCCCTGTTCTCTAATCTCCTTTCTATTCTTTATCCCTCCATTTCCTTGCTACCTTTTTTGTCCTCCTCATCTCCTCTTTGGTTTCCTTTTCTCTTTCCTCTTGTCAGCTTTGCTTTCTTCATCTGCTCTCCTCCACACCTCTGGTTGTTCTCTTTTTTCTTTCCTCCTCTCTTCATCCTCCTTTTTTGCTATTTTCTCTTCCTCTTCTTCCCTTCTCTCCTAACCTCTTGCCTCTTCTCCCTTCTTCTCCTCTGGTTTTCTGCTTTATTCTTAGTTCCTTTTCTGCCTTCTTCTCCTCTTTCATTCCCGTTCTCCTCATTTTCCCTCCACTCCTTTACTTTTATTTTCTCTTCTTCTCTCCTAACCTCTTCTCTTCTTTCCCTCTCTCCTCCTTCATCCCCTTTCTCCCCTATTTTTTGCTCATTTTCCCTCTAGTCCTTTACTTCAGTTTTCTCCTCTCTTCCTCTCTTCTTGTTTCCTCCTCTCCTCCGCCATCTTCTTTCATCTCTTTCTCCATTTTTGCTAATTTTCCTTCCACACCTTTACTTTTGTTTCCTCTCTTCTCTTCTCCTTTCCTCTCTTCTTGTTTCCTCTTCTCCTCCCTTCGCCTTCTCCTCTTACTCTTTCTTTCTAAATTCACTTAGGGTTAATTGCTTTCAGCAGGCTTTTCTCTCAGTCCGTCACGCTGCTCTCCGTCATGTGATGACACTGTTTGGGCTTGTTATCGGGGGGCCTGTGGACTGCTGCTCGGCAGAGGAAAGGCCCCGGCACTGCTGCACATGAACTGGTCGGATCACTTTAACCTGCAGCTTCCTGGACCCCGGTTGACCACGCCTGCTGCTACAGCCATGAGATCCTCTGCAGTGTAGAGAGAAACCCTTCTGTTGTTTGCTGTTTGGGACTGGGTGACAGAGATCTTAAATGGCTGAGGAGGTTTTAATTCCATCGTCGGGGAAAATCACATCGGTAAGTTCAGGCTGACTGCATGAATCAGGTCAGATCCAGAGCCAGGACCATCAGCTGACTGATCCCCTATTGTTTTAGACATAGAGTCCCAGCAGCTAATAGCATTTGCTACCAACTTTCAAACTTCAAGCTGGGTGAACTTATTGCTATTTTGTGCAGGGCAAAGTGAATAATATACAATAGACTGCATAATTTGAGTGAAGCCTGCTGTATGTGCCAACATAATAATTACATCAGACATGATACAATTTAGAAACTTGGTATGAAAATTTAGTTTTATCAACTGCAATAGTCATTTACATTTTTTAACCACTTTTCTGTGCATTACATCATACCTATTTTGAATAATTTGTCAGCATTAATACAATCCATATTTTAACAAATACACCGTTCATAATGTTATACACTGAATCATTAAATAACCAAATACACTGGCTCAGTCATAATCAGTGATTGACTGGTACATTTCTGGACCAGGCTCAATAGTTCTGTGTGTTTGGAGATCAGGCTGCTTGACATTATTCTTGCTGCGTGTGTCAGTGTAACAGCCAGCGCATACCATGTTTGGACCTCATTTTACTAACACTATTACCATGATATGTTACATGAATGTTATGTATGTGGAATTACAACTCTGCGTGTACAGGGTTACAGAATGAGAGATTTGAGAGCATCTGAACATGAGTGTCTGAGTCATCTTGACCTGTGTGAAATCTACCGTCCACTCTGTTGACTGCTTTCATTCAGGCACTGATCCTTGTGCTGATTTGTCAGGGTTAATTAAGATGTCAATTTATTTTTTTTCACTGGATTAATCTCATCCTTCATATTGTTGTTTATGTGATACATAATCATGTAAATCAAGCTGAGGCCCCCGCAGACTGTACACTGATTCATGTGAATGCCTACAGCAGAAGATTCCAATGGATAAGTAGTCATATTGGATGAGTCAAGATGGCGACTGCCAGTGTGAATAAGTAACTGTAAGCATGAGTAGCCAATTGAATAAGTAGTGTAGATCAATAACAGTTTTTTATTAACCAATTGACCGATGGACTATTTGACTGACACGAGATCTTGTTCATGTTTGTTAGATTTTCCTTCAGTTGTTGGTTCAGAGGCCTAAATATTATGGCTTCACAATTAATCGAAATGTTATTTAAATCGCGATATGGCCAAGTACAATGCAAATCACAGAAGCTGCAGTTGTTTGCTAAAGGTAAAACAGCATTATAATGAAGTACAGCAGTGCTGCAGACCTAAACCCTAAACCTAACCCCATTCCCTGGACTACAAATCTTGTTCTCCATATTTAAGAAAACGTGAAAAAATTGTGGTGCAAAATTTATCATTCCCACTAATCCTGAATCATTTTGCAATCACAATATATGTCAGAATGATCACAATATGTTCATTCAACCATATTATGCAGCCTTGGGGCGGCTGTGGTGCAGAGGCAGAGCGCGTTGTCCCCTAATCAGGAAGGTTGTTGGTTCGATCCCCGGTGCCACATGTCAAAGCATCCTTGAACAAGATACTGAACCCTGTGAATGTCTATGACTGAGTTAGTTTCTGTTCAATGGGCTTTACCATCACTGAGTGAATGTGTGTGAAAGGGTGAATGTGGCAAGTAGTGTAAAAGCGCTTTGAGTGGTCAGAAGACTAGAAAGGCGCTATACAAGTACAGGTCCATTTACCATTTACCATTACCTCTGGCCGGGTGAATTGGAATGTTGTCTGTAAGGAGCAAGCAGACGTAACGTGACAGCAGTACCTCTGAGGGAGGAAGTCAGGCTGGATGGATGGGTTAACAAAGCACGTGATTTTGACAATGGAGGCTGCTGTTTAGTTCTTGTTTTAGCCATAATAGCATGGCTTTAGGAATGATAATGTCTGTCAGTCCACCATTCAAATTCTATATACACATTCATGGTCTCCAGACGATGTTTTATATGTATCCCGTGACCTTTGATCCAAACCAAATAAAGTAACAGCATTCCCTTCAGCCTGCTAGTATATCTGCTGAACATCAACATGTTAGCATTGTGAACATGTTAGCGTGCTTTAATTACTATTTAGCTCAAGGTGCTTGTGCTTAAACTGCTAGCATAGGTATAGACGCTTCTCAACAGACGGTCAATGTTGGTTTATTTTAACCACAACTGTTCCCTAACATGAACCATTATTCTTTTAACCTACCTTAATTTAACCCAAAGACTGAAATGTGTCTTGAAGCTGGGGTAGAGTTTTTTTTCTTGCCATCATTGGGCAAAAATTCCACAATAACCTTTCAGCATATTGTAATTCAAGTGTTAACTAGTAGCATTCAGCAGCAAGTACTAGAATAGAGACAAGCTACTGTCCAACAGTATTTTAGAGTGGACCAGAGTTCATCTTAATATCTATGTTCATAGAACTTCCCATGTAATCAACATGAGTACCTTCAACTCATAAACTTGATCATTTCCATCTAGTCACTTTGATTCCATGTCATGTGCCTCTTTTGCCCTGTTTTCACCTTCACATATTTTCCCCAATGCAGGGCTTTCCTTCACAGTTTATACCTTGACATTTTACAGTTTAGCTGGATATTTCTTTCTTCACCAGATATTGGTCACACAGTGTGCACAAGGATCCTGTCTTCAGAACTGGCAGCCAGCCAAGCCCTTTGGTTTGGTTGCAGTGAGGAATGTGAACAGTGCCAACAAGAAATTTTAGATGAGCTTCATTCTAAATTAAGACCTTTAAGAGTAACTTCTTATTTCTTTTACAAGGTGTCTGTAAGCACAGCATTAAAACATATGTAATCAAACTCTAAGGACCTCAGTGTGTTTCAAAAAAGTGCGTGAGGGGCTTAAACAAGCTCTGTTTTTTCACTGCTTCTTTCACTTTGCAGCACCCTGAAATACTGTGCTATTATCTCTGTATGATTCACGTTAAACCCCTCTCTATAAAGACTTACTTCTGGTTTGGTCATTCAGAAAAGCTAGAAACACTTTATGGTTCCACTTCGTACAAACTTTATTTCAAGCGTACCCTCTCCTTATAGGTTATAGGTCCCGCCACCCTTAGCCCAATATTCCACTGGGCACAACCACGACATGTTCCGACTCCATGTGTCGTGGATGTGTCCCAGAAGCAGAAGAATCTTTCCACTCTGCTCCACATAGTATACACGGCTGGTCTTTTTTTGATGGAAGCCACAAGCCACTCACGCCAAGCAGCACAGAATCCGGTCAATTTTCAAAATAAAATACAGCGTGCAGACTCTGGATCAACATTATGGCACCAGGCCAGAAGTCAGTCAGTCAGACACAGGTTAGAGGAGATCTGAAGTGGAGAAACACACCATTTTGTATCCTTTTTAGGGACAAAATACACAAGTAAACACAGCGGGTAGTCAATAAACTCTGAAGACGTGCCACTTCTGTATTGCTGTGTGGGATTTGAAGACGCACGGATCATGGAGCCAAATGGTGCCCGGTGAAATACCTCTTGCATTAAAGCAGTATTATGTAAGATTTTGTATTTGTTGCGATTTGACGCCAGTTACAATATCATTGTGGTAAATATGGACAGCTGTGATGATTCAGAATCAGAATCAGAATCAGAATCAGAAATACTTTAATAATCCCAGGGGGAAATTATTTTTGTTACAAACTCCAGATATACAAACAACATATATTAAGAACAAAATATAACTATATATATATATATATATATATATATATATAAAGGATACAAACTCCAGATATACAAACAACATATATTAAGAACAAAATATAAATATATATATAGAGATCAAATGTACAGTTTAATAATATGCAAGAAGTGCAAAAAATGATTGTCCGTGTTTGAGTCAAATTACAGAGAGGGGGTGTCTGACTCTCTGAGGGAGGCGTTGTAAAGCTTAATGACCACAGGCAGGAATGATTTCCTGTGGCGCTCTGTGGTGCATCTGGGTGAGAGGAGTCTTCTGCTGAAGGTGCTCCTCTGCTGGGCCAGTGTGTCGTAGAGAGGGTGAGAGACATTGTTCAAGATGGACTGAAGCCTGGACAGCATCCTCCTCTCTGCCACGGTCGTCAGAGTGTCCAGCTCCTCCCCCACAACATCACCGGCCCTCCTGATCAGTTTGTTAAGTCTGTTGGTGTCTGCGACCCTCAGCCCACTGCCCCAGCATGTGACAGCGAAGAAGATCGCACTGGCCACAACAGACTCATAGAACATCCTCAGCATCGTCCGGCAGATGTTAAAGGACCTCAGCCTCCTCAAGAAAAAGAGTCGGCTTTGGCCCTTCTTGTAGAACACCTCGGTGTTTCTGGTCCAGTCCAACTTATTATTAAAGTACACCCCCAGGTACTTAAACTCCTCAACAGTGTCCACAGGGACCCCTTGGATGGAAACAGGGGTCACTGGTGTTTTCGCCCTCCTCAGATCCACTATGAGCTCCTTTGTCTTTGTCACATTGAGCTGCAGATGATTCAGCTCAGTCCAAGTGACAAAGTTGCCCACAAACAGTCCTGTATTCACTGTCATCACCCTTTTCAATGCAGCCAACTATTGCTGAGTCATCAGAAAACTTCTGAAGGTGGCTGGACTGCAATAGTCTGAGGTGAAGAGGGTGAAGAGGAAGGGAGAGAGTCCCCCTACAGTTTTGTAGGCGTACGTACTGTGGTCTGCCCATCAGGTAATAAACAATCCAGGACTCGATGGGGGCCTCCACCTGCATCACAGCCATCTTCTCACCCAGTCAAAGAACATGACTCTCACAGTGCTCGTCGGCTTGTCCAGATGAGTGTAGACTCTGTTCAGCAGGTAGATGATGCTGTCCTCAACTCCCAGGCGGGGCTGGTAGGCGAACTGTAGTGGATCAGTGAAGGGCCTGACCATAGGCCTTAGCTGCTCCAGGGCGAGCCTCTCCAAGTTCTCCATGATGTGGGACGTCAGAGCCATCGGTCTGTAGTCCTGAGGGCCGCTGGGACGCGGCGTCTTTGGCACAGGAACGATGCAGGCTTTAAGCACCCTAGGAAATACACTGTCGGGGGCCTGCAGCTTTGCCGGAGTGGAGTCTTGTCAGCTGTCTTCTCACCAGGTCAGGCGTGAAGGACACTGTAGAGGTGAAAGTTGGGGGAGGGGTGAGGTCCTCAGGTTGCGGAGGACATGATGTTGAGCAGGGGGGAGGGGTGGAGTAGGTGGGTGTGAATTGAGGTGGTGAGGGGCAGACAAGGGGTCTGTAAGGAGGAGTAGGAGGAGGTAGAGTGGCAGTTGTTGGGCAGCCAGCAGCAGAGTCTTGTGGGGGAGGGGCCGCAGTATCAAACCTGTTGAAAAATAGGTTCAGTTCATTGGCCCGGTCCACACGGCCCTCCAACCCCATGCCACCAGTCTACTGGAACCCGGTGATGGTTCTCATGCCACTCCACACATCCCTCATGTTGTTTCGCTGGAGTTTATTCTCCAGCTTTCTCCTGTAAAGTATGTCTGTCGGCCTCAATGACCAATCTGATTGGTGGAGTGCTAGCCTTTGACTAGCGAATCAGTGAGTGCACGAGAAAACCGGAAGTGATGATGGTAAACATACTACGCCAATGCCAGTATCTTGTTATTATTAGCCATCGTATTTTCCGTTCAGCGAGTAATGACAATAACAATCCTTCTTGACTACTATCAACACTCTCTGATAAAAACAATGACTGACGACAGCGTGCTCTGTGTTTACTAGGTCTACAGTGATCCGTCATTTCCGGTTTTAATTTTTTTTGGGCGACAACACAGATTAGCGCCACCTAATGTTATGGGGACGTATTATGCCTCGTGCACGTGCAGAACGTACGCTCCAGTCGGCGTCGGTTTGGTGTGTTCGGAGGCACTTTTTTGACCGACTCGGGGAGACTGGAGCCGACTGATCAGTCCGACTGCTTTTCTGCTGACGGTCGGCCGTCGGGTTGGTGTGTCCTGGCCTATAGGCCTCCTCCGACCACCTCCTCACAGTCCTTGTGGTCGTAGGCTTGCTCTTCACCGGCACATAGCAGGGTTTGAGGTGAACCAGGTTGTGATCTGACCTGCCCAGAAGCGGGAGAGAAGAGGAGATGCATCCTTAATGCTAGCATACATCAGGTCCAGGGTCCACTCCTCTCTGGTAGGACAGCTCATGTACTGTTTGACAGTCGGCAGAACTCTATCCAAGGTGACGTGATTAAAGTCTCCCGACATGATGATGAGGGCCCTGGGGTGTTGAGTCTGTAGTTTGGAGATGGTGGTGTGTATGGTGCTGCAGGCAGATGTTGGGTTTGCAGAGGGAGGGATGTACAGGACAACGATGATGACATGCGGGATCTCTCTAGGCAGATGGTATGGACGGAGTCCAACGGCCAGCAGTTCAACATCCGGGCTACAGAGCTGTTCTTTAATGGTGATGTGACCAGGATTACGCCATCTGTTGTTCACTAGAACGGCAAGCCCCCCGCCTTTCCGCTTACCGCTCTCGGTACAATCCTGGTCGGCCCGGACGGTGTGGAAGCCATCCACGGAGACGTTCTGGTCCATAATGTCCCTGTGCAGCAATGTCTCCGTGAAACACATCAGACTGCACTCCTGGTACCCCGTGTGGCTCCGCGTTAGCGCCGTTAGCACGTCCATTTTGTTGCTAAGAGACCGTACATTTCCCATAACAACAGAGGGGGAGACACGGCTTAAATCTTCTCCTCTCCATAAGCCTGTCCCGTTGTGACCATCCTCTCATCCCCGACGTTGCTTCCCTCCTCTGCATCCCCGGTGTGTTTTTCCAGAGTTCAGGTGGTATATTAGCTGGTCTGGCTACTATGCCGGCTGGCATTAGCGCGATCAGGTGTTCTGCATGTCCCGGTGGAAGCGGCATTGATAAAAAACAACACGAAAAAAAGCATGAAAACTCTCTAAAAAAACCTTGTTAGAGAGGGCAGGACTCCACAGAGTTAGAGTGAAAAACAAGAACAAACAAAAAGAGAATAAAATTATAACTATTTATGATCAAAAACTAGAGAGTCGACAACTTTGCCAGCACAGCCAAACAAGCAAGTGGTAAATGGACCTGTACTTGTATAGCGCCTTTCTAGTCTTCTGACCACTTAAAGCGCTTATAAACTAACTCACTAACTATGCACGGCATCGGGAGCAATTTGGGGTTCAGTATCTTGCTCAAGGATACTTCGACATGTGGCACCAGGAGTTGGGGATCAAACCAACAACCTTCCAATTAGGGGATGACCCGCTCTGCCTCTGAGCCACAGCCGCAACAAGACCAGACACAGCAAGCTAATATTAATGACTACTTTAACAATAAGAAGACCAGCTCGCCATCAGCTCTCACCAACAACTAAATGCCAGTCCCACATTTACTCTTGCCCTCTGCCATCCTCTGCCTCTGCTGCCTTGGTTCTGGTGCCCATTTCAGAGTCGCTCCCCATCTGCATCCTCTGAAAAACTCCTCTTCCCAGTTCTTCAACTTCATTGTCCATTAGAAAACTCTGTAAATCACAGAGAGTTGAGGCGGAGCAGCCAGAGGACATCAGAGAGAAAACCAGAAAACATTTTCTCCATAAAATATGATCTAGTTTCACTAAAGTCAGTGACTTAGTTAGTGGTGTGTGTGACTTAGTGCTGTAAGGCAAGGCAACTTTATTTGTATAGAACATTTCATTAACCAGGGCAATTCAATGTGCTTCAACAGGGTAATAAAAGTGCAACATGGACAGAAGATTTCAAATTTTAAAAGTGCAAAATTGACACAAGAGATAAAAATGTACGTTGTAACTCTGTAAAGGGTTACACACTTGCCCTGAACAAATTTATATGTATTACTGCTGAAATAACAGCTTGTGACAAATCATCATCAGTGTTTCAAAGCTATATCGTTCCTGTCACTGTGTAGTTTATGTGGAGAGACTGATCAAAAATGATTACATTTAATTATTAATATATTGTCCTCAATGAACAACAACACCGTCTCCTTACTGGTTAGGTCACCTCTGGAGCTCTCTTAAACATCAGCACACATAGGAGTGATTTACTAATTTAGAAAAACGTATCCAATTATTTTACTGCTTATCCTAAAAGTAGGACAAAGTTGTGTTATTTTGAGAATTTTTGGCCCATTAGGAATGATTTCCTTGCTAAATACAAGCCTACACTAGCTTCTTTATAATACAAATCAGAGAAAGGGCACAGTTTTTGGTACATTATGGTACAGTATATGCTATAACAAATATACATTTTTATAAGAGGAACAAATTTAGCTTGTTTTGGAGAAACATTAGCACTTACATTCAGTATTCTGCACTTCCTTACACATCTATCTCTCTCCCTCTGTCTGCAGCAACTGACCGGCTCTTTGTTAGCGGTGGCATTCCTTACCTCCTTTGGGAGCTCCATGCTTTATGGCTACAATCTGGCTGTGGTCAACTCCCCTGCAGTGGTAAGACAGACAGACACACACACACACACACACACACACACACACACACACACACACACACACACACACACAGACACAATGTGACCTAGGGCTGGATTATCAACCGGGACCCTTGACCTCCACAGGCCCAAAAGTCCCAGTTTCTCTGCACGTAAAAATGATTTTTCTGTATTTAATTAATTGCATTTGTTAACGAATTTGAAGAGGCCTGTACAAAATAGAAATAGTAGTTACCTGGATGTAACTCCAGGTACAGTATGTGAAAATAGTACTGAAAATCTGTAGTCAAGTTACATTACTGAAATATTACTCAACTACAAGTAAAATTACAGGTGTTAAAAAAATACTTAAGTAAAAGTACAAAGTATTCTTCTAAAAAACTAGTAAGAGTATTAGTTACTTTTTAACTCTTGATGTCTAATGCATTATCAATAGCAGGCATTCAATGGAAAGGGGAGATCCATGTAGAACATACCTACTTTCAACAAAGCACATTTTGTCTGTTAAAAGCATACTAAAGGTTATTAGTAGAAATTTCTCCCGGTGCACTGCAAACAAACAGCCAGGCATTAAGGGTCTAATCTGTCTCCATTTGTTTTTGTTTGTCCGAATCTTCAGTCCCTAAATTACTCCCAACTTCTGACCAGTTCTCATTTTTTAATAACAAAAAAAGGTTTCTTACAAGATTTGGCACCGAATTGGTGCACAGCAAAAACAGTACAGGTGCCAAAACTATCAATGCAGATCGCGAGTCGGCTGTAGAGCTGTCAGAACAGCCCAGTTGGATAACGTTGATGCAGTGCTTTAGGGCACTTCGCACCATTTTCTGTTTGTCCCTGGCATACTAGCTAAAAATCCAGACGGAAGTTTTGGATATAATTCAAATTATAGGCCTGCTCAGTTGTCAATTATGATTTTAAAAGTAAAATATATATATATAATGCATAGGCTTGAGAAAATATTCCTAACTGGGTTGCCATGGTAGCTCACCTAGTAGAGCTGGTGTCCCTTGTAATTCCTTGCTGCAGTGGCCATAGGTTCTGGTCCCATCATTGCTGCATGATATCCCCTCTCTGTCCCCATTCCCTGTCTATCTTGAGCTGTTTAATCAATAAAAAAATATATAATAATAATAATAATAATGATGAATGAAAGAATGACATTTGCAAGAATCCACTGTTCCAATCTTGTAAATGCCATTAGGAAAACTAGGAGGAGCCAGAGGAACCTGATTTTTTTTCACAGATTATCTGTCTCATGTACTACTGTCAGGATATACTGAGAGTTTCAGTTTCATATGGAGTTAGATTTGTGTCTTTATTACATGCGAGAAAATAAATGATCTGAGAGAAGAAAAAATGTTTGAGAGAAAAGGTTACCACACTGATAGCAAAAAAGCATTTTATGAGAGAAAAAAAATATTTGAGAGAAAAAGTTTTCATACCAATAGCAAAAAATAATAATATTTGAGACTAAAAAAAGTTTTGAGAGAAAGTAATTTCTCATAGAACATAATAAAATATAAATTTGAAATTTTGAAAAAAAAAATCTCTCAAAATACGTTTTTTAACTCTCAAATATATATTTTTTTGCTATCAGTGTGAAAACATTTTCTCTCGAAACCTAAGTCTTTGCTCTCGATGCAGTTTCTTGCTCTCGTGTCAGGATTTTGCTCTCGCTGTGAAAATAATGTCATGGGCGGGGCCACGTTCCTATTAGCCAGTTGGGTGAGAATCGTCCTGGGAGTTGAACTGAATCATTCCACCATTGTCCATTCACCGGCATAGACGCGCTGCCTTAGTTGAGCGCGGAGACTCCAATGTTTGGGTAAGATGATGACACACACAACTCGATGGGTAGCTAGCTGAGCAAGTTGGTAATCAAAATCATTCCCATCATAGGAACGACTGTGTAGTCCTAACTGGTTAGAGAGTAACAGATCAGAGGTATTAAAGGATGTTTAACTGGTTAGAGAGTAACAGATCAGAGGTATTAAAGGATGTTTAACAGGTTAGAGAGTAACAGATCAGAGGTATTAAAGGATGTTTAACAGGTTAGAGAGTAACAGATCAGAGGTATTAAAGGATGTTTAACTGGTTAGAGAGTAACAGATCAGAGGTATTAAAGGATGTTTAACTGGTTAGAGAGTAACAGATCAGAGGTATTAAAGGATGTTTAACTGGTTAGAGAGTAACAGATCAGAGGTATTAAAGGATGTTTAGAGAGTAACAGATCAGAGGTATTAAAGGGTGTTTAACTGGTTAGTAATGTGGAGTTCAGCTCAGCTAACATCACTGAAGATTCAACATTAAATAGGCCATCCTAAATGGAAGCTAGTTTGCCATTACTGATGTGTTTGTCAGATTGTCATGGACAAAGAATAGCACATTCATGAATGTGTATTATATTATTAGCATGCTAATCGCTAGTAAAGCTAATCGCTAATTAGCCATCATGCTAGGTAAACTTGCAAACTCACCTGGTTTCTACTATTTTTAAGTCAAATGTTGATGTAGATAGTTTCACTCCTTATTTAGTGAGCAGTGAGCTAGTTTCTACCCTAATTAGCGATTAGCTTTACTAACGATTAGCATGCTAAGCTCAGCTAGCTACCCATGGAGTTGTGTCAACATCTTACCCAAACATTGGAGTCTCCGCGCTCAACTAAGGCAGCGCGTCTACGCCGGTGAATGGACAATGGTGGAATGATTCAGTTCGAATCCCAGGACGATTCTCACCCGACTGGCCAATAGGAACGTGGCCCCGCCCATGACATTATTTTCACAGCGAGAGCAAAATCCTGACACGAGAGTAAAGACTTTTTGAGAGAGAGAAGAAAAACGTTTTGAGAGAAACACATTTTTTTTGTGTTGTTTTCACACTGATAGCAAAAAAATATTATTTGAGAGTTAAAAAACATTTTGAGAGAGATTTTTCTTCTGAAATAATTTTTAAAATTTCAAATTTATATTTTATTATGAGAAAATACTTTCTCTCAAAACTTTTTTTTGTCTCAAATGTTATTATTTTTTGCTATTGGTGTGAAAAGTTTTTCTCTCAAACCTTTTTTTTCTCTCAGATCATTTATTTTCTCGCATGTAATAAAGACACAAATCTAACTCCATATCCTTCTAGTAATAGCCATGTTGGAATTAACCTCTCAGCTGATCTCCTGTGTCAAGCTGGTGAAGTGTAACCATCAAGGGTCTTGTGGTAAGTCTTCTGTGATATTAGATATTAGTCCAAGAGTTGTTGGGTTTTCTTGCAACTAAAATATGCCTGGTGATGGTTTACTGTAGAATTAAATTGCATTTGTGTGCCAGTCTTCCTCCTGCAGTTGGGGGAATTTATAGTGTTCCAACAACTCGTGCCATCACATGGTAAACTGATTAAGAGGCTGAGGTCAAAAAAAGACTTGATTAGACAGAGCTGAAAATGTCAGAGGGAAAAAAGGGAAAGAAATTTAGAGAGTGTTGGTCTCGTGAAACCAGGATATCTCGGCCACATGACACACAAAGACAAGGTTTCCTTTCTTATGAGGAAGGAATGCTGTCTGATTGGCTCCAAAAGGCGGGACTGACCAAATGCTCTCTATTGGTCCAATACAGCATCTGATCTGTGATGATTAAGTGATACTTTAGCAGTAGTATGTGAAGGAATGAGACAACCACTTTTACACACATTTTCCAATTTAACCTGCCTCTTATGCTGTTTTCAAGCAGTGTTAATTTAATCAAAAACTACGACAGAATATATCTGTGGAAGAGTAGTCCCTCCAGCAATTTCTGGGTCTACTTCCAGTCCCCCCCCCCCCACACACACTCACACACTCCCGTCCACCAAGTTGCTTCCCCAGTCATTGCAGCTGGGAGATGAGTATCTCTCACAAGCTCTAATAGCTCTAACAAATAAAATAAACTTACAAGAAAGGAGAAGAAAATTAACAAAAATCTATTTTCCTCATTACACAACAAAGTCAAACTGTACACCTTCTAAATTCAAGTTTCTCTTTTATACCAAACTAAGGCCTTGTTAACTCATCTTAATATACTTTATTTAAACTCAAAAGAAACAAAATAAAACTCACCAAGCCATCTTTATTAGTCTTTCCACTGTTCCAACAATCGGCAGCAAACAGGGTTAGGTGTGAAAATCAAGTGGGCCAGTTTAGACCGCTGCAACTTTTCCCTGCAACTTTCTATAACTGTTTCATCTTATTGTGAATCTTCGGTTTGAACTGGGACTAAAATGTCATAAACTCAAGTAAAAATTGAAAAGTACTCCAAATACAAATACTCAGAAAAGTTGCTCTACACTTATCCTTGAATGACAGGGGAGTTGGGCTTAATTCTAGATAAATCCTCTGTGTCTACAGAGAGTAGAAGTGAGTTAGTTAAGTAGTCAGTAGTCGCTAGCATTGGCATGGTAGTAACCAGTCTTGGAAGCTAATGACAAGCCAAGCTAGTTGTTGATGTGGTGAATTGCTTGGTCCGATGCACGAGTTACCTCCTCAGGCAAATGAATAGTTGGCTAAATCTGTATATCTGCAGCTATATCTGTCATTGAATTATCTTTCATTCATAAGATTTACTTCTGACCTTTCCTACATCCTGTTTCCACTATCCCCTCTCAGTACATAAAGGACTTCTACAACAAAACAGCGCTGAGTCGTAATGGAACAGGACTCAGTGGGGAGACCCTGACCCTAATGTACTCTCTCACTGTGTCTGTCTTCGCTATTGGAGGTCTGCTGGGCTCCCTCATCGTGGGCATGCTGGTCACTCGCTTCGGCAGGTAAGATTTGTTCTTGCAGATTGTTCAGGAGAGGATTCTAGATTCTACACCACTTGTACAGCAGTGATTTCTTTTAGCCATGACCACAGTCTTTCTCAAAGTCTAACCAACTGTCCCGGTTACACACGGAGGTTGCTGTTTGGTTAGGTTTAGACATAAAGTAGTTGGTTAGGCTTTGGAAAAGATTGTAAATGAAGTATGTTACATAAGTTAACTTAAGTATGTAACTTGAAATACGTCAGTTTTGACTTGTCCTGTGTGGTTTCACATAGGACTTGAACAGCAGTGTCCATGGTGAAAGTCTTGTGCTTTTTATTCAGCTTTTGTACTTCTTACATGTGTGGACCAGGACAAGTGTGTATGATTTAGTGGCATCTAATGGTGAAGTTGCAGATTGCAAGTAACTGAATACCGTTCGCTTTTCAAGCATGCAGGAGAAACTACGGTGGCTGCAAAAACTTGTTAAATGCCCTTCCCTAGATCTAGAGCCCATGTTTGGTTTGTCTGTTCTGGGCTACTGTAGAGAAATGGCAGCCTCTGTAGAAGAGGACCCGCTCCCTCTGTAGATATAAACAGCTCATTCTAAGGTAACAAAAACACAATGATTCTTATATTCAGGTGATGACACTAATGAAAACATACCTATTAATATTATATTCCATTCTGACAATAGACCCTCCTGAATGTTACACACTGGACCTTTAAAATCATATATTCCCTTTTTAAAGTTTTAAACTTTTCTGGAAGTCCAAAATCCCTATATGTTGCTCTTTAAGTATCTGTCAGTCTCTGGAGAGTAAAAGTTGGATTTGTCCCCAAACTCCACGAATGTCGCCCTCAGAGCTGTATTTGGAAGTTGGCTCTGTTCTGTCCTGACACCTTACCCAATAGCCCCCCTAGACCGTCCGACCATGAGAGTGGATAGTGGCCAGTTGGCAGTGTGAACCTGAGAGACACTCAGCAGCATCTGGTGCTGCCACCAACATGAACACCTGAACACACACCGCAGTCACACCAAGAAACATACAATACTCTCTTCAAAATTCTTCAAAATTGCAATGATAAAAATATGTATTTTTTGTTTCATGTAGAATAGTAAAATAAATGGCATAGCCCACGATTAGGAAATAAGGCACTAAGAGACACTAAGAAACACACATATACTGGCACGCACACTGGCACAGAAGGCACTAGATCAGGGCCTTCTATCAATCATGCCTCTGTCCTCTGTATTCAGAGCTGCTGAGAAACCCCCCCCCCTTCCCTGGTGCCCTGTCGTCCTTCAGAGTGCACCAGCATCTCTTCGTCCCCTCTGCCCTTCAGAAGTGTACTAGTGCTAGGAAAGTTCTTTTATATTCAGTGCAAATCGGATGAAAGCTCCATCCATCTCCACCATTTCATAGAACTTCAGTTGACATTTAAATACAAATGAAAAGCAGGCGATTTATAATCCCATTTACAACAGCAGTATTTTATGGCTAATCACAGTTTATGACCAACCTTGTGAGCTGTGTTAGCATTTTATGGTTAATCGGGACTTATACAGACACACGTCTATCATAATGACAGTGTATATCTGGGGAGGGGTTGCTGCTGTCCTTACTGTTTCATAAACTTCTGGGTCATATGCTTTTATGTATATTCATAATGTCTGCTGCTTGTCTGTGTGTGTGTGTGTGTGTGTGTGTGTGTGTGTGTGTGTGTGTGTGTGTGTGTGTGTGCTCTCAGGAAAGGCACAGTGGTAAACACAACGGTGCTGGTGTTTGTTGCCGGGTCACTCATGGGCTTCAGCAGGATTTGTAATTCACCTGAGATGGTCATCATTGGCCGCTTCATCACAGGGATTCACTCAGGTACACACAGGCACACACACACACACACACACACACACACACACACACACACACACACACACACTTCTGCATCCACTGCAGGCTAAGCTGCTCCCATTTACTGCTGTATACAATTAGGCATGTAAACTATATAGGCCAAATGTATGTGGACACCACTGTCCATTCATAGGGAACATTCTTTCCTGTTTAAACATGACAATCCAATCATGCACAAAGCCACCTCCATACTAGGCATAGGACTATATGAAAATTACATGTCACTATTATCTTGGCCAAAATAATTGCGATTTACAATATTATCACAATAATCATAAAAATATACTTAAAATGGCTCTAAAATCACTTATCACACATTTTGTTAAGAAACACATATACATTTTTTAAAAATATAGTTCAAAATAAAGCAGGAAATCAATAATGGACTGTCGAATTATGTGAGGATATTCACGATCATCCCAATTCACGATTATCACAATATAGGAAATTCACCATATTTTTTATCACAATAATATATTGTCCCATCCCTACTCCAAAAATAAATGCTTTTCCCAGTTTGCTGTGGAAGAACTTGACTTTCTGCAGAGTCCTGACCTCAACCCCAACCAACACCTTTGAGATGAACTGGAACTCTGACTGAGAGCCAGACCCCAACATCAGTGCTGGACCTCACTAATGCTCTGGGGTCTGAATGGGAGCAAATCCCTAGAGCCAGGTTCAACATCTGCAGGAAAAGGCTGAAACCAGAAGAGTTGAGGCTGTTATAGCAGCACATTGATGATCATGGTGTCAGAATCAATGATTTTAGGTTAGGTTAGGTTTCGGTTTAGGTTGAATTGTGATGTATGGCTTAGCGGATTGCATGATTGGTCAAATTTGCAGACAAGTTGCAGTCATTGGACAAAATTACAAAGTATCATATCTTCAAATGGCTCCAAAACAGTCCAAAAGTAATTCATTAACAAGGAGCAAGTCCTCCCTTTTAAGAAGATGAAACCATAGATGACAGTAATCATTAATTGATTGAAAACTACTGGCAATTAATCTTCTGATGATCAACTAAGCAGCAGCATTGACCTTTTATTGCAGCACTTAAGATATTGCATGAAACCTCAGTATAACAGGGATTGCACAATGAGTGAGGCACTCATCCTATTCAATTCAATTCAGTTCAGTTTTATTTGTCTAGCGCCAAATCAAAACAGAAGTTATCTCAGGACACTTTTCAAAATAGAGCAGGTCTAGACCGAACTCCTTATAACATTATATACAGAGACCCAACAGTACCACCATGAGCAAGCACTTGGTGATGGCAGCAAGGAAAAACTTGCTTTTAAGAGGCAGAAACCTCGGACAGACCCCGGCTCTAGGTGGGTGGCCGTCTGCCTTGACCAGTTGGGGTGAGAGAGAGAGAGAGAGAGAGAGAGAGAGAGAGAGAGAGAGAGAGAGAGAACAGAGGTAAAGACAGAAGGACAGAGACAAAGGTGCACAGTAACAACAGTAGCAACAACTACACTAATAGTAGTGACTGATGTTGATGTTGATGATGAACATGAACCTATTGGCTCTGTTTGTTCAGATACTCCATATTGCTTTAAACTATTATTGAATTAAGTAGGACATTTTGTCAAAGTAAATCAGTGCATCATTACATGGATCTTCCCCTTTGCTTTTTTCACTGCAGGTATCTCTCTAAGTGTAGTACCAATGTATCTGGGTGAGATTGCACCCAAGAACCTGCGAGGCTTCCTGGGTCTTGTGCCTAGTATCTTTATTGGCACCGGAGTCTTCGCCGCCCAAATCCTTGGCCTACACGAGCTTCTGGGAAAGGTAGTCAACACTGCTTTCTATCAACACCCAGTTTGTTTGGTTGCAGCAAAATAAGCTCATGAATAAAGTTTAAGGTCAAAGTTTTTTGTTGTTGTTGCAATTTGTAGATTCTATGTCAATTTTTTTGTCATTTAAACACCATCTACTATTGCTCTTAACAAGTTGATTGTGACTGAAGAAACATTCAAGCCGCAGTTCATGCTAAATGTGTCCCCAGGTTTAAGCCAATGACCCTAAGAGAGTAACATTCTCAGCATGTGTGTAAGTGTAACTGTACTACTATTACAGGAGGAGCACTGGCCCCTCTTTCTCTCAGTGGTGGTGGTACCCACCTTCATCCAGCTGATGCTATTGCCATGGTTCCCAGAGAGCCCCAGGTACCTGCTGATTGAGAAGCACAACGTCCACGCCACCATCACAGGTCAGTGTTGTGACCCTCATTAGCAATCCTGGTGGTCACCTCACTGATACCACTGATGCTCTGTAGATGGGTACAAATGATGTTCACTATGGTTTTAATCAACAGCTGCAGAGCCTTCCTGTCCTTGGCCATACACATCCCATGCCAATTAGGCAGGGCAAACCACTAGCACAAAAAACAATCTATACCCACACTACTGTCATCTTTGTTAGCTTACTTTCTTGTCAGCCTTTCCAAGTGTTAAGTTTAAATCTCCTCAAATTCATCAACTGTTGTAGTGGTAATGACTTATGTTTTAGATGTGCTGTTGTATCTTTTCATGATGGGCTGTAACCGTTCTGCTTCCTGTCCCGTATCTCAGCCCTGAAGTGGTACAGAGCCAAGTGTAACATCCAGGCTGAGATTGAAGAGATGCAGGAGGAGCAGCGCTCTCTGTCGTCAGTGGAGACGCTGTCTGTATGGAACCTGTTGCTGGATGACACAGTCCGCCGGCAGGTGGTCAGTGTGGTGGTCATCAACATCGGCATGCAGCTGTCTGGCATCGATGCTGTAAGCACTCTTTGAAAACGGAGTAATGTATACGTAGAAGAAAAGGCATGTCTTTTTAGATACTACTAGTATTTAAGTAGTAAGTCCAATTTTTTTTAATTTTCAACAAAGTTTAAGCAGCTTCCTGGAGGAGGAAATTCTCTAAACTCTTTAAATACCCAACATCAAGCATGAGTATCACGCACCAGTTCCGAGGAGGTCAGCAGGGCTGAACCATCTGCACAAAAGATAAATGAAATACACAAGATTAGCAAATGCATGCATAGAGCTGCAGAGCATGGGAGACTGTTAGTAGACCACACGGGGAAAGTGAGGGGAGATTGCCCTCTAGTTAATTGATCACGGATGGCGTCAGTCTCCATAAAATGTTACAGAGTTATGCATGTACGGTATTCACAACCTCAATGCTGAGTCCCGTAAGCACAACCTTAAAGCACATTAAGTCCAAAATACTCACTTGTATAGACAAATCTGGCAATTATTCAAATTTTACAAATTAGATAGGCATTTGTTACGACAAAAGGTTAATTGATCAAGAGTGGCATTTAATTTTTTAAAAGACCAACTATAGTCGTAAAAGATTTATAAATACAAATTCATGTTTCTTCATTGGTATTCAAGATTGTTTGATTAATCACCTGGCATCCTAACATCTTAGTCCTCTATGTAAAGATAAATGGAATGTTCTCAGACAGAGGCACTCTTCATGAAGTAAAGTAGAAGTTTGCCACTACTGTTGGGGCAGCTGATAAATGCACAACTTTTTCCCTGTTTCCTAGACATCTTTGTAAAAGTAATGTTACATAGAAAGTAAAGGGAAAAGCAGAAAACTGTGCACTTCTAAGGATAGCTTGCATTCAAACATGTGCATATTGTAGGGAGACACCACCGCAGTGATGGAGTCTTGTTTACTTCTGGTACCTCCCTAGATTTGTGTATGAGGTAGTGGTAATGTCCGGAGGGCATTCCAAGGTTTAGCAGGTGTTTGCTTTAAAACGGTATCAACAAACAAGTTATGTCTTCATATCCCATCTTTTTTCTTGCTTACCGTCAGCTGTTAGCTGCCAAATGGTGTCTGGTAAATGAGAGTCTTTAGGCTACAGCGACTAGCAGCACCAACTGGCACGAACTCCTGATGAAACAGCATCAGATGGTTTTAGTCAGTTCTGGCTCTTTTCACCTGCACTTTATCCCCCTCACAAACATTTAATTCCCCCCTCAACCACTCCCCGTGTTTCTACAGCTCCCTCATCTGATTGATCTAGCTTATTAGACAAAGACACTGAGATGAAAATGGGCCTAAATGACCCCTCATTGTTTTATAAGCCTCGTGTGGTCTTGTGAATAAAGCCAAAAGCTGATGTCATCATTTTCATGCCGATACGATTAGCCACATTCTCCCTCTGAATATTGCCCTGGAGATTCATTAATTATTCAAATGATTACCGGGGCGCCGGGGCCAGAAAGTGCACACTGTAAGCACTGGAGCTGAACTCATTAGCACGCCCTTCTCCAGGCTGTATTTTTAGCTGCTAATTAGCTCTACCTAAACAAAGTGGGGCAATGCTGAAACATGCACATACTGAGAGCAGCACTGAGGATGAGGAGGGTACGGTGATATTGCTGGTGGTGATGATGAAAACGGGAAGAACTAAAAGGGTAATATATGACAGTGTAATGAAATTAATTAAAATTAATCAATCAATATAATCAATGATGATGATGAAGGTGATGTTGGTGATAATTACAATGATGGTCACACACTGTAAAACCAGATAAGTTAATTCAACAAAAAAAATTGTTGAAACTGATTACACTAAATTCAGTTAAAAAATACATTCTTGATCAAGTAGTTTTAGTCGATTTAAATGACACTGACTTAATTTTGTCATTTTTATTTTTACTGTAAAAAACCAAAATTTTCAATTTACAAAATTTAGCTTGTGTTACTTACATTTTCTTATCCAGTCCGTTTCAACAAGTTTTTTAGTTAAAATAAATTATTGCATTACAGTGCGATGATGATGATGATAATGGTGAGGAAAGCAGCTATGCTTGAGAGAATGAGAATGATGGGAGTATTATTTATAATAATTTGAATAATTTAAAGGTTGTATATATATGAAATTCACTTGTCATTAAATGTTACACTAGAGCACCAGCATCTCAGACTGAAACAATGGGACAGAAACACAATAAAACTCACCAAAACTGTCCATGTTAGTGTTTCAGCAGTCTTTCCAACAATCACTAACGCTGGTTTGGTCGAAATTCTTAATTGAAGAGTTATAAGAGAAAATATTGTTTAAAAGGGCTGCAATCACCTCAGTGCAAAGTAAAAATCTTTGGGGACAAATGCGGCCACTGACAGGCTCAGATTGTTATTCTAAATGTCTGACAACATTTTGGAAAGGATCCCTACATAGATAGACCTTTAGTTTAACCAGAAACTACCATAATATCGCTGTGGCTCTCCACCAGACTCCATAGACAAAAACGGTAATCTTACCTTGCATATCATCATAACATCCTACCTTCATTGAAAGTGGACAGAAATTAAGCACAGCGTTAGTTCAGGCAGGCCACGAAGTCAAGCTCAGCTCTCAATTCCAGCTATATCAGCTGATCACAGCTAGTCGTAAACACACATCAGCTCATGGCTCAGCTGATTCCTCCTAAGCTTCCTATTGGAAACCATACATAGTCAGCTGACGGCTCAGCTGATTCCCTCAAGCATCCAATTGGCAAATATCATTCATGGCGCCTTATTTAAGCTGCTTTAGCCTGCCTATTTTTGCTGCTTTCTCTACAAGCCGTTTTGCAACCCACCTCCACCCCAGCTCCTCCTTTTATGTTGTATCTAATTAATCAATGTCATTTCTGATTGCCATTGATGCTTGCTCTGTTCTGTACCCTGGGGGGTCTCTGCTGCCTCTCTCCTTGTCTTAAACTTTTCCATGTATGCACGTTGAAGGGCAGGAAGGTGTGCTCTCCCTTCCTTAACATTTTCCACGTAGGCACGTGGAAGGGCAAGGAGGTCCCAGAACAGAACCATACCGCCAAAGGTAACATTCTGCTTTGGAATAAAAGTTCTTTTGACAAAAGTGGTCCTGACTGAAACAAGATAAAACTCACCAAAACCGTCTTTGTTCGTCTTCCCACTGTTCCAACAATCACCAACTCTGGTTTGATGGAAATAAATCCTTAATTTAGACGTAGATGATAAAAACAGCAGTTTCAGTCGCTGTCCTCAGCTGCACACGGAGCAGACCGGCTGTGGAAACAAACCACAGAGAGGCTGTGATAGCAACACAGGCAGGGGGAGTGTGAGTGTCATTATCTGCTCAGGTTTTTTCCTGTTATATTAATGTTCTAAACCTCATGTATAAGCTTTAATGATCATGAGGACAATGATGAGGAGGAGATAATGAAGATTGCGGTGATAACAAGGATGGAGACGGTGATGATAAAAATTATTATTGTGCAAGACAATGACAATAACAATGACAATGATGATGGCATTGATGTTGAAGATGAAGGTGGCAGTGATTGAGGTGATGGTAGTTCTATTTCAATTCAATTCAATTCAATTTTAATTGTATAGTGCCAATTCAACAAAAGTTATCACTGGACACTTTTCAAATAGAGCAGGTCTAGACCGTACTCCTTGTAAAAGACCCAACAGTTCCCACCATGAGCAAGCACTTTGTGACAGCGGCAAGGAAAAACTTCCTTTTAAGAGTCAGAAACCTTGGACAGACCCCGGCTCTAGGTGGGTGGGACGTCTGCCCCGATATTTGATGATGATGATGCTCACAATCATCCCTGATGGTAATAATGATAATGAGGATGATAATAATAGTAACAAATAGTGATAACAATAATGAAGGTGATGATGACAAACAATAATTGTGATTATGTTGATGATGTTCGTGAGTACACTGACGATGATAATGATTGTAATGGTGGTGATGTGGCAGATGCTTGAGGTGATATTTAGTCCAAAGTGCATGTGACAGTTGGCAAGCCTTGGCACAGTTCCTGGTACACCATAGGACTGTGTGTGTCTGTATTAGTTATAGCTGACCATGTGTGTGTACTTACCTGGTCCTCTAACGTCACCGTCTGCTGTCTTCAGTTAATACACCTCCTGTCCTGTCCTGCTCCCCCTAAAGCCTCAAATTGAATTGAATTGAATGCGAGCACATGTCTGCTGTCTCTCTGTGGCAATGCTTTACCACCTGTGCCGCCTGCAAGTCCTAAATGTCTGCCTCCTCATTTGGATTCTTACACCATAGTTTTTTTTTTTTCTTCTCAAGGCACGTCACATTATGAGGAGGAATGTTTTGCTTCTCAGCCAAACTGCTCACAGGTGACTTGTAACTAGCTAGGTACCGTGTAGCTGTGCAACATGCAGGCGTGTCTCAATTCCGCACTTGCTAATCTTTATAGAGCTATTTTAACCAACAGAAAATGATGAGCACAGTATAGCGTCAGTATACCTGTGACTTTGTGACACTGCTGCTACATTTACATTTGAAAAACTCACAGCAAGACTTTTAAAGGGATTCATCCATATCATATTATATGATCGGGGTTATTGTTATTGACATTAGTATTATTATTGTTATTATCATTGTTATTATGTGATCATCATGCTATTTCCATTAAATGTGCCATGTGCCCTGTCATACAAACCTAGACCAAATAGTTTACAAATAATTATGAGTTTTCATGCAGCTTCCGTGGCTGGTGGCCAGAGATTAAAGCTGTTTAGGATTTTAAAATGTCTGTGGCCGCCCCCTTCCAGCCACCAGCCACCTGAAGGCAGGTATTTGTTCCATCTGCAGTCTCCAACTAAATTAGTCATAATTCAGTCAGTTATGATTATTCCACATGCTTCTAATGCAGATCAAAAGGATACAGAAAACAGTTCAAACACAATTCAGTGAAAATGATAGATCAATTCAATTCTCTCTTAGCTAATAATTCCCTCAGAAGCTGGTCAAAGTACCGATGTGATAGACATTGTTTGGGTTAAATCTTATAGTGGTTTCCCAGAAACATATAATTGTGGATGGTTACCATGATAACATTTATGTCGCAGTATTAAACAGCAATTATTTTGTTCCCAGATTCCAGTCAGAAATGTGCAAAGTAAAACGGTCAAATCCCAAAATACAAAAGAAGAAGGAAAAATGGGCTGCATTGTTACCTCTACTAAGTTAAGATAAGTATATGGATAATTGTGATGAGGATGAGGCTTTAGAAAATGAATTTCACCTCACTGATCTTTATTTTTCCACCACAGATCTGGTTCTACACCAATGACATTTTTGAGAATGCAGGTATCCCAGCACCAGAGATCCAGTATACCACAGCAGGAACAGGGATTATAGAGATCATCGCTGGACTCATTGGGGTAAACTTACAAACTTGTAACTGGTGTTAGGTTTTTATTAGATTTTTCTTTTATAATTGATTGATTTGAAGTAAGATAAGAAGGTTGATAGCAATCTCATGCCTGTGCGTCACAGAGCTGGAGTCAGAATGTAGCATAAAGACTGGAAGCAGGGGGAAACAGCTAGCCTGGCTCAAGTTCAGAAATACAGTTCTGAAGTGTTTTGCTTTAGATACATTAGAACTCACTTACTTGTGTTCTTGCATCTGTAATGTTGTTCATTTAACTGACATGAGCTCTGTGTCTCCTCCTGCAGTGTTTCACCATAGAGAAGCTGGGCAGGAGGCCTCTCATGATTGGAGGTTTTGCCATGATGGGCATCTGCAGTGCTGGAATCACATTTGCCCTAATTTTACAGGTGTGTGTGTGTTGTCATCTGCTAATGTGCCTTTTGAACCATTGTCCAGGAGCGTGTCCTGAGGGAATCCTAAGTGCCACCCCATCATCCCAACCACTTCCACTCCACTCTTTCAGAGACTGTAGCGAGCTCCATTTTAAAGCTAGAGTGAAGATATTTTCACTAACAAAGACCAAGCCAACAGCTGTGTGGAATAAGAAAAGTTTATTACATGTTATGAACAAATGTGGAATACTGTGGGGGGTCGAGGGATGGAGGGGATGAACGGATGAAGGGATGACTGGGTAAGGGTCGATGGAAGGGGGAAAGGGTCGAGGGTTGAGGGATGAGGGGGTATAGGAAGGACAGGTGAGGGTTGATAGAAAGGAAGGAAAACTGGTAGGGTAGGTGGATGGAGGGAGGAGTTCGGCGAGATGGTCAGAGGGAACAGAGTGGGTGTTGAGACGCTGTGTGGGGGAGCCGTCTCTTATCTCTTCGAGAGCCCCAGTGGTTCCTGTATTTGGATAAAAGAGAGAGAAGAGAAGAAAAAAAAAGAAGAAAAAAAGAAAAAGGGGTTTGGTGGGAGGGATGTAGAAAATGAGTCAAGGAGGGAGTATATGAAAGTAGGTGACCCAACACATACATTGGCACCTGTTTTGTTGGGGTTTGTGGGTTCTTCAATAACAACACACTGGTTACTTAAAGAGATAGAACTTTACTGTAGCAAAGACGTGAGCTTCATTCATGTTACAAGTACTACAGCTTCCGGCTTCAGCAGCTTACTTGACTCATAGACCAGGAACGCCCCCTGCTGTCTGCACATGATAAGATCTACAAAATGTGCTCTTATCATTACAGCACCAACCATGTCATGCTAGAATGTAAGGAGGCCAAAATAACACTCAAACAAGTTAAGCAATATTTTGGCAATGGAAAAACTGGAAGGTCCATTTTCCAAGGGATCCCTTGACCTTTTGACCTTTGAAGATATCTGAATAAAAATGGGTTCTATGGGTACCGTTTCCCCTTTGCAGACATGACCACTTTAAGCTAATCCCATGCAGTTTTGGGCACAAACCATGCAGTTTTTTGCGTGTGGTATAAATGTGTTATTTTCGCCTGGTGTATTTGAATATTTCTGCATACTGGGGTCCTTAAACAGAATGACTGGAAAGAGAAACACATACTTGATGCCCCCCAGTCAGTGCCCAACTTGTGCTACCCCGGTCAAAAAAGTCTGTATATGCCCCTGGCCTTGTCCTCGTCAGCCAAAGTGGGAATGTATTGTCTGGAAATGTGTGTGTGCGTGTTTAAAGAGACATCACGACTCTGAATCTGAGAAAATTGTTATTTCCAGCAGTTGCAATCTTAGTCAACAGGTGCATTTTGTTGCCTTATGACATGACTTTTCAGATTTCCAAATGAAATTTTTAAGTAACATTTTGACTTGACCCCTCTGAATTGCATATTCAGATCTATGGTGCACTTGATAGCGCTGTTGTCCAAACTCCCTTGATGTTACCAGATACACTCTTATTAATACCCAGACAAAACAAAACCTGCTCTGAATCATTAATATTTAAAGCCTCTCTATAGCAATGTGTCTTGGTGCACTTTCATTGTGCTCAGCATGTTTAAGCAGCTACAGGATTTTAGCTCCTGTTCCAGAAATGTTTCACGTTTCAGTCCAGTGACGCTTTGGGATCTTTTCAGTTCTTATTTTTCCTTTTACCTGTAGTGCTGTTTATCCACTTTCCTCCATTGCTTTACTCACTTTCTCCAATGTACTTCCTGGGAGGAGACAAGTGGAAGTGAGGGAGGTGAGAAAACAAACAGAAGGAAAGATAAATGAACACATCCCAGATTTTCCAACAGGGGAATGTGTGGGGATGAACAGTTGTGTCTGTTTCACTTTCAGTTGGCAGACCGCACTGTTTTCCTGCTTTGCCCTGTGGAAAATGCAGTACATGCAGGGCTGTGTAGCAGCTGGCTGAGGTGTGAAGCAGTGGTGGAAAGGGAGTCAAGTTCTCTATTAGGGAAAATAACTATTTTTATTTCATGTTTATTTGATATGGGGACAGATGCAGTACTGTATACATATAGATTAACATCACAATTAATGCCCATCCCTAAAAGGGTCTTTAAAACATGTTCAATTGACTTTTAAACACAATAAATGTTGACAAATTTGGTCATTTTATAGTTATTCTGGTATGATATGTTACAGTTCCCTGCAGTGGTATTCCTTGTGGAAAATCCAATGGCTGTAACGGTCGTACCATGTCACAGAGAGCCAGAGAAGCCTTGCCATATAAACACTTGCATTTGAAGATGCAATATAGTTCTCAAAACTTAGCGAGCAGGATGTGACAGTGGATCTTATTGGCCTTGTGTCCAATGTGGTCAGACTGACAAACAGTAATGTTGTGCTGTTTCTTCTCCCTGCAGGCTCACTTATTGTTCATGCGCTACCTCAGTGTCTGCTGCGTGGTCGGCATCATCGCTGGCTTCTGTATCGGTCCAGGCAAGTTGTTCAACACTGTATGTTAAAGGGGTTCCATTTTCTTACTTACCCCTTGTGATGATGAAGACCTGACTCAAGTTGTGCAGTACTGATTTGATAGTGGAACCAACTGTATTGTTAATATCCTTCCATACTGCAAACAGGACACCATGAAACTGCATTAAAAAGGGTATCATTTTGCTCTGACTGTCTGTCATATCACATGGTGTCAGAGGAGCTATGAACAGTCCCAGCATTCCTACAGATTCCTACAGAATTAGTCAGGAGGAGCACAGATGTGCATATTGCTACTGAATTGTATTTATCATTAACACATAAATACAATCATAACATTTTTTATTGTCCAACAATCTGTTGATTTTTTTCTCTATTCATTCAATAAACTGGCTGTTTGTAATATATATCATAAAATAACTAAAAACTAGTAAATAATGTCCATCACAATTTCCCATAGCTTCAGTTGACATATTCAAATGTATTGTTTTGTCCAACTAACAGTCCAAAACCTAAATATATTCAGTTTCCAGTGATAGCAGGTTACAAATAGACAATATTCATAATTATCTACGTTAGGTGTTAGGCAGCTGGTTTTAATCAGTTAATACTAGCGCCTGAACTAACACTATATGCTTCATTTGAGAATCAAGAACCAATGACTTTTTGCCAATTTTTCTTAAAAGAATTACTTAAAGCTACAGTAGGTAATGTGTATAAAAATAAATTTTTGACATATTTGCTGAAAAAAAAACAGATTCCTCTGGCTCAGTGGATGGGCCTCAAAGAATCAAACCAATCTTAGCCAAGAAAGATAGCTGATTGCTGAGTCTCATCTTCGCTCTTCCCAGGTTGTCAAATACAGACACTTTGGGATGCTGGGAATGAGACTCAACAATCAACTATCTTCAAACTTCCAACCCAAAGTGTCTTTGTATCTTTCTTTGCTCTGATTGGTTGTTTTCATTCAGGCCCAGTGGATTCTTGCAAATGTCATCAGGAGCACTAGGAGGAGCCAGAAGAACCTGATTGTTTCACAGATTATCTGTCTTATGTTCTACTGTCAGAAGACGTCAGCAATCATGACAAAAAGTTATTTTTATAAAAGTTAGGTACTGCAGCCTTAAAGCACCAGTGTGTAGTATTTAGTGGCATCTAGCGATGATAGCAGATTGCAACCAACTGAACACATTCTAAGGTGATCTAACCTTATTTTCAGGTGGTTATACATTAATGAAAACATACCTATGAATATTATATGCCGTTTCTGACAATAGACCCCCCTAAATGTTACACACTGGACCTTTAAATGATTAATCAAGTGTCAATATAGTTTAATTTTCTGTCAACTGGATAATCAATTAATCTCCATATGATTTTAGCACTAATGTAGACTGTCCACAATGTGTGTTTTTGGATGATCCAAAGTAACCAGGACACCGGTTCTGTAACTTTTATTAGTTATTGCTGTAATTCTTCATGGTATTGTGGTGGAGGCAGAAATATCAGAGATAGATATCTCTGAATCAAGAAAAAATAGAACAAATATCTGCATGAAGAGATATGACTAGAGGAAAGTGAGGAAATATCTATGTTTGAATTTCAGTCTGATCTGATTGCAACTGAGAAGGGATGATTTCACTTTTTAAGGGCCATGCACTTTCTGTTACACTTATAGATAGACAAGATCACTGGCTTGGTTATTCTGCAGAGGTTCAGGTTGCTTTGTGTTATTCAATGGCTCCCTCTGCAGGTCATACCTTAGACATTCGTAAGAGGCCTCTAATTCAAAGAACAATTCAAAATGATTGTATCTCAAGCTATTAATTTTCATATGTGCATAGTCTGTCAAATCTGCTAATACATAAGTAATTAATAAATAATACTTACAATTGTAAATATCCATAAGAATCCAATACTGTAAATTTAAAAAATTTAAGTGATATTCTCTGTTCTCAAAAGCATCTTACACTGAGTGATAAATATGCCTATTTATTTCTCTGTATGCAATTATGCATGTTGTGACAAACCCACATTATATGGCCTAAGAGAGACAAACAATGCAGTTTTAATGATATACTATAATAATAAAATGTTAGTTATATGCATTCTTTGATACATGACTCTCCCGTCCAAATGCCGGCCTGGCACTCAACCATCGGCTTCTGTTTATCCCTAATTAGCCTTTTCACAAGCTGTATCGCTGTGAAAACTTATGAATGAACAATAAACCATTAATGAACATAAATACAATTTTCCATACACAAAAATCTTGCATGTTTGCCCAGATGTATCTTGTTAGGAGACTCGTCTGCTCTTCCCTTTAATAAAGAGATGTGTGAAAACAGAATGTATGGCTTTAAACCCTTCTTCTATCTTTCGAGGCTCAAAGAAACGTGACAGCAGACAGCAGCTCTGTTGTGGTGGAGTTGTTATAGTTTAATATATCTATATTTACTATAGTCGTATATACATACATATGTATACATACATAACAAATTAAAGGTCCAGTGTCTAACATTTAGGAGGATCTATTGTTAGTAATGGAATATGATATTCATAGGTAAGTTTTAATTAGTGTATAATCACCTGAATATAAGAATTGTGTTTTTGTTACCTTAGAATGAGACGTTTTTATCCACCAACACAGAGGATTGTCTTTCATGGAGCCATGTTTATACAGTAGCACCATGGGTGTATTAGGAAGAACTGGATACAGCATTGGGGGCAGGCTCCGTTCAAGAGCAAAAGAGACTTCCGGAAGACGAGCTGCTAACTTCTGGTTAAGCCCTCAGCTAACTTAATGGAGATAAAATGATTTAATCATGCGGCTCTTCTAGACATTCGAAATGTTATCGGACTGAATGGATCAAATTCTGATAGTGAAACGCGTCATCTCGTTGGGTGTTGATGCTCAAAAACAGAAGCTTCTTTCACAACTTAAGCTTATCGGGAAAAGTATTTTTGGGCACTATGTCAAATTGGCTTCAAATCCCAGAGCTCTTCCTGGGGGCTTGCAGTAGTCCAGAGTGGAAAAACTACACACTGGCTCTAGATTGGGGTGTTTGCATTTTTCGAGTAATCTGCAGCCAGGGAGTTGCATCGCCACACGCACCTAGTATTAAACCATGCTGGTAGCTGCCAGTAGTTCCTCATAGGATGCTGATTGGTCCGAACCACTGTGGTTTGGACAGAAGCGCATACTGTAGCTTGGAGCCTGGCAAGATGGAGCCACGTCCAGTTTAGGTTAGTTAGCACTATACTCACCATGTGTTTCTGGAGGGAAATAATCCTGCAGCTGTCATAGTGATGTCATCAGGGTTATCTCAGTTTGGGATATATGAGAGGTGCTGAGTTTGAAAGATGTGGGCCTATTGAAACACTATCAAGTTGCACTGTTGCAAAAGTAGGATCAAGAGTTTTAGAGCTTCACCTGTATGAGGTACTGAAAGTCAAAATATCTCAGCCTCTGCAGTCTGTCTCTCACAAGTCCAACCTAATGGAAATCAAGTCAGTTTTACTTATATCACAATATCACAAATCAAAAAATACCCTGAGGGGTCAAAAACACCTTTAACAGGGAAAAAATTGAAGAAATCTCAGGACAGACATGCAATAGATGTCATGTGTACAATACTAAACCGCTAATGTGCCCCTTCTAGTGAACTCAACATTCAACAGAAGTGTGTGATTTGTAATGTTTTGCTCTGCTCCTGTTGCAGCGGGGGTACCCTTCCTGATCACAGCAGAGCTGTTTAAACAGTCCCACCGCCCAGCAGCCTACATCGTAGGAGGATCACTCAACTGGCTGTCCAACTTCACTGTGGGCTTCGTCTTCCCCTTCTTACAGGTGAAAGATGTGCTGCTCTGTCTGTTAGCTTGTCTCTGTCCTAAATGTTAATACACCGGTGCTCAGGCTTTTTAACAATCACAAACTTAAAGTCGTTAATCGGATTGCTAAGCCCCTGCACGGTTTGATTCCAACCTCTATTGTTTCAGAAAAATGCTTGTTGCATTTAGGACCTGTAATGCTCCCTTAAACTAGAGAACAAGTCACCCCTGCATGACTCTCTCTGCAGCTGAAAGAAGGAATGATATTACAAACAGCCAGTTTAAAATCTCTTTCATAGGTCCCATTTGTTGGCTGTAGTAAATGATCTGGCCTGCTGACATTAACACAATCTTACACTTGTTGCATGTAGAGTCCCACCACGGATTGTTGATTTTGCTGTCACAAATTGTACAAGAAAGTGGGCTGCAAGAAGAGATTCTGACATGCTGATCACAATGTAGTTGAACTAAATAATTATATCAGAGTTGTGATTTGAGCTTTCCCCTTTTTTATTTTGTCCTGCAAGGCTCACCAGGTTTGTTTTCCCTATTCCCCTTTTTATTGAGAGAGAGAGAGAGAGAGAGAGAGAGAGAGAGAGAAGGGTGTGGCATACAACACAGGCCATGATCCATATGGCATACATCTTCACCACTAGTCCACCGGATGCCCTGCTTCCTCTTTACATGCTCTTTGCATACAGATGCAGTGATAAAATTGTGGTTACTAATACAATTCAATTCAATTTAATTTATGTATATAGCACTAAATCTAAAAAAGGTTTTTCTGTTAGGATTTGTTATGTTATGATTGACTTTTCATATAGAGCAGGTCTAGACCATATTCCTTACAATATTACTAATACTGATGTGTTTGTCATAATTGTCTTCTTAGTCTGGGCTTAAGGCCCATACGTTTTGAGTGTAGCCCTGGTTATGATTTTAAATATAGACCTAAGTGAAACTTGACAACATACATTATGCGTGTGAATGTGCAATAGTCTTTGTAACATAACAGCCTGTCAAAATTTGTGTGTGTGGGGTTTTGATGGCCAGCGCAGAGTGACTCATTTTACAGTCGAGGAGAAATAGCGTATAAGTGGGGGAAATATTTTGGGGGGTTTTCCAAAAGAGAACCAAAATGTATCCTACAGTATGTAGTAATGTGACATGATGTGTGCTGTTATTCCCTATTACAAGTTGGACAAGTTGGTTATATATATACATGTGTATATATATATATATGTATATATATATATATATACATATATATATATATTGTTGAACCTATCGAGCTTTCAGAAAAGTCTTTTTTTTCAGTCATTAATACAACTTGGATGTTAAATGTTTTCTTGTGCTGCATCATGTCTCTTTTAACCTACATTCTTAACCCTTCTCAAACCCTTTCCTTCTGCTTTGGTCTCTGTTATGAGTCCCCTCTGCTTTGATCAAAAATGACTCTTTCCTCTTTATATTGTCAATTCATTGATCACTTTGTCATGACTGTCTTCAGTCTGTTAGTTCTAAAGAACAAATATATTGTTAGTCAATTCTCAGACCCTCAGTCTCGACAGAAACATTTTTCCTTTGCGTTTTAATAAAGTTCATATGAAGACGTTGTAAAAACGATCCTCATAAATCTGCAAAAATGATTCCAAACATAGTATACACACCAGTAGGTAGCGGTGTAACCTTGCAATTCAACATCACAGAAGAACACCATTCGCCTACGTACAATCCATTATATAACGGACTGAGCTTCCGGGTCAGTCAAGTGAAACCGAAGTGCATTCTATGTAAAGACCAGCAGGGGGCAGCTCCAGTGGCTGCATTAAAAACATATACCATGCAGTCTTATGGAGAACTGAGTAGTCTTCTCACTTCATTAATAAGCTCAGTTAACCGTTTCCTAATGAGTTTATGGTCTCAGTCTCTAGTTTCAGTCTTCTTCCTTACAGCATTATGTTCATTTAGTAAATGATGGTCACATTTAGAGTAAAATTGACAATAAAGCAGAATATACTTGCTGCAAGGCGTGGCTACCTTGTGATTGACAAGTCATTTTCAGTGAGTCTGTCAAACCGTCAAACTAGGCAGTGCTGATCAAATATGAATCAAGATTCTGTTACTGCATTGACTATTTCTCTCCTCAAAATTCTTCAGAAACATAGTTTAGGCATGGCACATGGTTATTTGGCTGTAAGCGTAATACTGTTGTGCGAAGTGGGGGCATGTCGTCACTGTTTTCACAGCAAATGCATAGCCGGGTTCCAGAGTGACAGTAAACACCCCTGTTTACTGTCACTCTGGAACCCGGTTTCATAACTTTTTCAGGCCCCTACAACGGCGTTGTCATGTGCACCAAGGGCCAAACTGCAACAAAGGTTTGACAGTTTATACAAAAAAAATAATTTTTCTATCTTTCTCTCAATCTTTCCAATGATCCTCCGTCCATCTGCAATAACCAAACATCAGATGTCAGCGGGCTCTTACTGCTACTTGGTGTTTGCCGCCATTTGTCTTTCCGTGGCCGTCTATGTCTACATTGTGATCCCAGAGACCAAAAACAAGACCTTCATGGAGATAAGCCGGATGTTCTCTAAGAAGGAGGCAGTCCTAGAAACCCAGGGCCTGATCCACGTGGACCAGCTGAAGCTGAAGAAGATGAACGGCTATGGTGGTGTCGAACATACTTCGCTGGAGTTCGACAGCTCTTCTTCTGTACCTTAACTGGGCTTCAGGTTCTCACTGGGACTTACTCTTCCGTTCAACTGTTTGTACACATTAACCAAACACCACCTCACCTAGACTCAGTTAAGCTTGACCTTTCACATGGATCACACTCAGGGTCAAAACATTCCTGAATATACAGTACAGTTCTGGTAATTTAACTTATCATTTTAATGTTTTGGTCCATTTGAGCCATTAAATAAAGTTTTGCCCATTTCTACGATCAGTACTAATAACATTGTATTCACCAAGATAATAGAGTGCTACAGGGATGACGTAGTTAGCATCATCCTGGTTCCCTCGACATAAAGCCAATGGGATTGTTCCATTAGATTTTGGATTATTGGAGAAAATAAGATCTGTGGTTAACAAAGGTTTATGATACTTACATGTTTTGTTCAGCAAATGAAGACCAAATTTAAGATTTGTAAAGCATAAATGCCATCACCAGAAGTAAAAAGCTAACATTAGTCTAAAAAACGAACTACACCACGGTCGCAAGACTTCATCACAACTACTAAACTTCCAATTTCTAATTGTGAATAAAATCTACAAGTTGTAATGTTTGAGTTAGAATAGTTTGCAAGAGCATGACTATAAACAACCATTTCTTAGCCACTTGTTAGCAACCGCTTTTTTTAAAAACACCTAAAAACCCATTCAAGTCAATTAGATTAGAATAGGTTAGACTTTGAGGAGATGGAACCAGAGTGGCTAAAATGCTAACTTAGTTCTGGGTTTTAGGATTATATCTCTATAGCTGAGATCTGGGCCCATGGTAACATCAATAAGAACACGTCTGACAGGTCAAGAAATACAAGCAGTCTGACGATCAGACAGGTTGGAAATTTGTACAAATACAAAATATCTATCACAATATATGACCCGCCTCCTGCTTCATCTTTGACGTAATTACTGTAGTTTACACACACAGTATTCCTGCTCAATGAGGGATTACCAGCAACATTTAAGGTGCTTTCACTTTCAGTTTGACATCCGGATAAAGCGGTTTTAAACAGTTGGTTTGTGTCTCCATGTTTCCAGATCTCAGCAATTACTTTATTGTTGCACAGCAACTTTTCATCACCTTAACAATGGGTCATCATTATTGGGGTTGGGGGTTGGGTTGTCTGTTATGGCACTTTAATAAAAAATGTCATGTTACTACTTAGTCATGTTTGTAAAATAATGGGCACCGCTAGCAACAAGCCACCACGTACCTGTATCTATTGCCTGAATGCTAGCAGTGCTTAAGTTGTACAAGTGTCCCATATGCTAGCATGGTTAAACCCAAACCAATAAATACATGTCAGGATGTAGATCTAAGGTAGACTCAGCTAAGTTATCAGAGTTTGTGGACATGAACACAGCAGCTTGTGGGAGTGTGCAGTATGCATGTGACAGAAATTAACCTTTTACAAATAAATGTTTTAATCTTTTGTATATCTATGATGTGAAATTCCAATATTTGTGCATGTTTTGACTGTGTCATCTTTTTATTGTAAAGTTATATTGCTTGTTAATATTGTGTAAGTAATACATCTCTTTACCAGCTCTTAATACACAGTGACTTTACAGACTGTAACAGAGTACTCTGTACTATTAGCTGTGCAGTAAAGTATGTTTTTTGATGAAATGAATATGGAAAAAAGCAAAAGCCTTTTTGAATTGTTGAAAGATGACTACATAAATTAAATAATATTGTAATACTGTGTTGTTGTGTGTTTTAATTAATTGAATTAATAAATTAGTTATCTATTATTATTATTAGTAGTAGTAGTAGTAGTAGTAGTAGCTTATAACTCAGTTACACTTCTCAATTGCTCTGATGCTTTGTTGTTTTCTTAATTTATTTTTTCTTCCTAAATAACAAATCAATCAGCCATACAACATTACATTTATATTCAGATGACAGAGAAAAAAAGTCATGCAATAAATACAGGCATTAAGAGCTACTCTACAGGATATTTTGTGTGTATAATATACAGAGCTGGGAAGTAATGAAGTACTTTACTGTACCAAGTACTTCATTACTAGGCTCCGGCTAGGGATTTAAGGTATTTGTTCATCAGTCCCCAATATCTTTATGTAAACATATCTGCGGGGAGTGATGAGGTCGGAGCCTAGACGGCAAAATCTAAATATGCTATACTGCTGTAATAAACATTTCAAACGTGAGTCGTCTGACTGAACCAGAAAACATGTTGATAACGCTGCCTAATATTCACTCAGGAAAAATAATCAAACACTAATATCAAAAGCAGAATTGTCAAAGAAATAACAACAAACAACAGTTGCCCTCCCCATGATGCAGTAGAACATGGTGCAGTCCAACTATCAATCAACCCCTTTTAAGCAGGTCTGATTCAGCCGGGACTCCTTCTGTTGACCAGCCAGACACCTCCAGCAGAAGCCCCCCAGGAACACATGCTCCATCACAGAGTACATTTCAGACCCTGTACCTTTTCACTTTACAAACAAAGAAGATGAATCAGTACTTTTACTGGTATTCTTTATTCTTAAATTGGATCCCCATTAGCTTCCACAAAGTGGTCGCTAGTCTTCCTGAGGTCCATACCAAAACAGACAGTATCAGTGGAACATGAAAACAGAAAGCAAGCTAAATATAAAACTCATAAACTAAGTGAAAGGCTTCTACATATAAAACACAATTAACAAAGTAGCCTACAATGAAACAAATACAACCAAAAAGGTTCTAAAACAGCAATAGCAAAATAACATCTATGTAAGTTTCATAAACTTTGTTCAAAGGGACTGTTTGATGATGACCAGTACTTACTTGACATGTTTTATACACATGACAAGAGCCAGTGTGTATTCATTTCTCACAAAATAAGTGTGGTGTATTATTCCAGATGACACTTTGCATGAGCAACAGAAGATTTTAATTCAGCTTCCACAGTGAACCAAGATATGCATCCAGCACGGAAAGAACAATATAGACCTAATTAGCATGCTATGTTTTGTTGTTGTTTCTGAGCAGCACTTGACCAGATGACTGGGCAGTACTGCAGATATGACAGAACAATTAACCGAACAACATCACTCATAACAGAAGGTGAAACATATGCAGGACATTTCTTTGAAGTAGCAATGGCCTTTCCTATCGTAGAGACAATATGATCAATCCAAGACAGTAAATTATCTAATATGGTAAATGCATTGTATTTATATAGCTCCTTTCTAGTCTTTCAACCACTCAATGCGCTGTACACTACATACCACACTCACCCCATTCACACACATTCATACACTGATCCCATTAATGCATGTTACTACCTTCACTTCTTCCCCGGAGTTCTTGTGCTTTCTCGTCTCACAGGTTCTCATGGATCCTGGTGGAGCCTCCTGCCATGGTCCTGCTAGATTGCCATTGCCAATACTGTTGTTGCTGTGCACCTGTCTGTCTGTCTGTCTGTCTGTCTCTCTCTCTCTCTCTCTCTCTCTCTCTCTCTCTCTCTCTCTCTGTCTGTCTGTCTCTCTCTCTCTGTCTCTTTCACCCCAACTGGTCGAGACAGACGACCACCCACCTAGAGCCGGAGGATCTGTCCTAGGTTTCTGCCTTTTAACAGGCAGTTTTTCCTTGCCCTTGTCGCCAAGTGCTTGCTCATGGTGGTACTGTTGGGTCTCTGTAAATAATGTTATAAAGAGTTCAGTCTAGACCTGCTCTATTTGAAAAGTGTCCTGAGATAACTTCTGTTATGAATTGGCGCTATACAAATAAAATTGAATTGAATTGAATTGAATTGAATTGATGGCAGTGGCTGCTATGCAAGGTGCCAACTGCTCACCAGAATGGATCATTCATACACACTCATACACCAATGCACAGCAACAGGAGCAATTTGGGGTTCAGTGTCTTGCTCAAAGACACTTCGACATGCAGCGACAGGGATCGAACCGCCAACCTTCCGATTAGAATAGAATAGAATAGAATAGAATAAACTTTATTGTCCCTGAGGGGAAATTTGTCTTGGGCACAGTGCTACAGTTTGTTGCTTCACAGAAACAAGCATACCTCAACAGACACACATCAAAAAACATTTACAAAAAAAGCGACTGTAAGAGACTATAAGAATTAAAGAGTGGACAACCCACTCCGACTCTAACCCACAGTAATCTGTACTTTTACTTGAGTAAAGAATGTGTATACTTCTGCCACATCTAATGATACATGAGCTGATAATGATTTCCTTCTGGGGACATTTTTAGTGAAGGGACCAGACTAGCAGCACTAAAACTCTATAAATCTAAATCTTGTAGGTGAATTTCAATTAACTGGATGGACGTTGCGCAGTTGAATTAAAAGGTGACTTGTGGGATACACTGAAGGTTAATTGTACTGTGCGTATGTAGACTACCTGGTCGCGTGTGAACACACCCTTCAGTGCTCAAGATGCTCTTGATATTTTCCTCATATGATTTGCCTAATTAAGTTATAATCTGCGTGTAATTCAGTACAATATATGTCATCTATCTATGCCACCATGTAGCCTCCTCTCTCCACACACACACACACACACACACACACACACACACACACACACACACACACACAAACATATATCCCTATATTGTAATTAATGGCAGTGCCTGTGTCCCTAATAGGCATTCTAATGATCTCTATAGCTGTGTGTTCCCCTCTGGTCATACAAGCCTCTCTCTCAGCATGTGTGTGAGTGTGAGTGTGTCTGTGTGTGTGTGTGTGTGTGTGTGTGTGTGTGTGTGTGTGTGTGTGTGTGTGTGTGTGTGTGTGTGTGTGTGTGCGTGTGTCAGTGTCCCTTGCCAAGTGGCTGTCACTGGTGCTGATGGCATTACAGCGGGGAGGCACAGGACAGTGACAAATGTCTGTTATCATGGAACAAGGCCGGTGACAGATAGAGTGGCGACAGCGTCACTGAGTAATAAAACTAGATGGATGATCTAGCAGCAACAGCTCCACCACAGCCACTCACAGCTGCTGTAATTAAGCCACTGAGGAAGAAAGGGGGGAGGGGGCAGACCTACAATTATGTGGACATAGGATACAGCACAGAAAAAGAACAAGACACAGAAATGAATGTCTGAAAAGGCTGAAAAAGACAAAAATGTGATATAAATGCTGCAGTATTGATGATTTACATTTGTAGCATCACTACATGTCTGACAGCCACAGACCATCTACTCCCTCCATCTGATGTGAGAAGGTACATTCAATCCTGCAGGCTCAGACAGTCGTACGTCCTGGTGGAGGAGCTCAGCAGGAATGATCTGATGGTCTGTGAAAAATTGCTTATAACTATCAATTGTATATGACTGATGGGCACATGTATTAAGACCCTCACTTAAATCACTATTATAACCATGCAGTCATCTGACAACATAAAGATTATTGTGATAAAATATAAAATATTTTGGCTGTGACAAAGCAGAAATGCATGACATATTATTTGATATTCTTACTGTGTTGACAAAAACATCAGTTTCTTTCTTTATATTATATTACAGTGTGTGCCTGTTTTTATGTCACAAAACTTAGTGAAGATGGAAAGCCAGAGATAAGGGAGCTTTTTGCCCCTTCTTGCTCTCTGTGATTTCTACAAGCAGGCTCATAAACAATACCTGTTAACCTGTTCACTTTTATGGAGTAATCCAAAATCCAATGGAACTTTTCCATTGGATTTTGGTCAAAGGAACCAGGACAATGATAACTTCAGTGATCACATATGAGGTTAGCATACACAGAAAGCGGTTGACTAAACTTTATTGCCACACAGTCCTGAGCAGTTGCACCTCATTGTCTTCCAAAAGTCTCACTCTGGACGGTGTTTTAAAATATCTATGTTTGGATGTGAAAAATGTGGGCAGAGGCCCAATATGGACAGGTCACTCAGTGTGATGTGTTATTCAGTGTATAATGTATGGAGTTTGTAAAAAGTACAATTGATGTATGTTGGTGCAGCTAGCAAAGCATGACATGTTGTTTTACGTGAGCACACAAGGAAATCTCTCTCCTGCTTTCTAGGGTTCCACCTTTATTCTCTAATAATATAGTTTGGCTCACACCCAATCTCTCCTCCTGTTGCCTTTTTCTCTGTCTTCAGTCCCTCTCTCCTCCCGTCTGTCCTCTGTCTCTCAAAGCTGTTGATGGTGGCTGTGTAAATGCTCTGGCAGGTAGCTGATGAATGTGGCACTTGTCTGCTACAGGCTGTAAGTGTCTCAGAGTGTCATACGGCTGGGCCGGCCTATTGTTTATGCTTTAGCGCCGTGCTGCCACACAGACAGCTCTGTGGCCATTCATACATTTCCCCCTCACATAAATACACCATCGCACAGACCGGGGATCCTCTGACAGGGCTCTTACTATCTGAAGCTGCAGTCAGCTCATACATGTCAACTTCTACCTGATCATTTAATGCCCAAAAATGTTTTCATTATCTAAGAATTTCGAAAACTTTCTTGTTTCATTAATGTGAATTATTTTAAAGCAGCTGCCACTGTGCAGTGTTTCCCTCTGTTCTGTTCTGTACTGCAGTAAGTGGACCCACCCAGGGGTCATAAGATAAATCTGAGAGGTTGTTAGATGAGTAACAGTATAGGGAAGAAAGAAAAAATATTTAGTTTATTTTTTCTAAAATTTATGTTCATTCTTTTGTGTGAAATACTGTACAGTTTTACCTCTTCAGGCCTCTGAAAATGAATATAAGGAAGA